AAATATTGACTGCAGATCGTGTACACAGCGGTGGCACTGTGTACACAGTAGAGCAAGAAAACTGTGAGGATCCAGAGCAAGAATCAAATCTTCCCCGAATGAACCAGAGTCTCCTGCTTTTCCTCTTCCTGCAGCACAGTGACCCATTCACCCACCAGCTCTCTGATATTATGGGTGAGAGACAGCTGCATGGGAAAATCACAAAACGCTGAGTTCAAGTTGGTCTCCCTCATATTTTCTTTTTCTCTGTATCTGTGACCCAGCCACAGAGGCGCTGTTAGAGCACCACCTGGAGGATATTCTGAACAACAACAGAAAGGCAGTCACAGCAGCCCTTCAGACTGAGCTGAAGAACACACTGAAAGCCCAAAATCGCAGAAAAAAGGCAAATCTAAATATACAATAGATACACGATAACAATAACTGCCAGAGAGGAAGCGCTCTTTGAACATGTATTGTTTTCATAATTTGGACAATTTTATATATTAGTATGTAGTGCTTCAACAATTATTTGGCTAATGGATTGGCAGAAAAATGAATCAGCAACAGGTTTGATTATCAGTTTATTATTAATGTATACAATTTGATGGTTGCAGCAGATTCATCAAATTGATCATTTAATTGTAAAAAATAATCAGTACATAAAGGAAAATGAATAATTGATTAGAGCCCTAACAGTGTGTGTTTGGGTGTTGTGTGCAACAATTAAGGACCAAGAGAAGCTGCGTTCAGCTGCTAAAGTGATTATCAGTTCATCCATCAGTATTGTGAGCTGCAGCAGTAACATGGACTTCAGAAATGCCTGTCTGAACAGCATGAAGGTATGAAAAGAGTGACTTTTACTTTTTTTATATGCCGATATTAATAGTTCATTTTAAAATACAAAAAACCACAATGTTAGCAGGTTATGTGCTATACTGTAAATACACCTGTTACACATATATATACACATGTATCTGTGTCAGTAGTGTGACAAAAGCCAGATGTGCATCCATTATGTATGTGTTTGTCAGGTGCGTGACACTCATGACCTGTCAGCCTCCCTCCGTGAATCCCTGAGCAGGGTGACATCATGGAAATTCGTTCGCAGCAGCAGGTGCTACTCTGCTCAGGTGAGCGAGATGTTTGTTGTTCACCAGCCAGTTACTATAGAAGCACTTCATTGCTTTTAGACATGTGATTTCAAGCCATAATCTAACAACACGTCATCACTTTCACAGATGGAAGAACATCCTGAGAGTGACGAACCCACAAGAACAGAAATCTGAGAATGTCTGAGTTTGTGTTGAAAGGTTGAGGGCTGTGGAATCCGTTAACACTGGAATGAGTACATAGTACAACACTATTTTATAGTAGTGTGGTGGAAGTGCATGTTGTAAATGTGCTGGAGATAGAAATACATATTTAACTTATATATATATATTTGACTAAAAAAGGCATAGTTTTATTATAGTTTGTAGGATGGGATTGTTTTTTTAACACACTTCTCGGATAGAAAATGTTCCAAAATGAATCTACATTCAACTGATCACCTTTGTTATTTTTTATTTTGTACCCCTAAATAAACAATATAGTACAAAACATGACTCTAGAGACTCTAATTCTGCATTATACAGTTATGTAGTTTACTATTATTAGTGATTGTGAAGCTGGAAAACCAGACTGGTTAAACAAATAAAATCACTCTCCCGGTAGCCACTAGATGGCGGTAGATGCTTTTATTTTTGTAGCGCTGCTAACTTCCGCTTAAGACTGTTTATGGACGTGACGTAATTCCGGCCGCCAACACGGACAGCAGGTTTTTCGCGGTAAAATGAAATGTGTTTGTAATGTTGATCAGATTAATTCTGAGTTCTCCTATTTACCTGACCTGTAGCTAATTGCTGTAGCTAGCATTTGACATCACATTGTTTGGAGAATTAGCTCGTCGACGTTGCTATGAAGTGAGAGCAAAGCTAACGTTAGCTTTCAAACTATCGTCAAAACAGTATCATACATACATAAAGTAGTAACTATACGGCATAAAACAATGGCACTTGTTACCGGGGAGAGCCTGCAGTCAGAGCTGGAAATGTTCGACATAGCCTGCCAGGATGACTACGCCCTCGACAAGAGTAAGTAACTAACACTTTATTGTGACAGCAAAACGAGCTTTCTTGTCATTTGTCCTATTACATGTCCCTTTTAATGTTGTTTTTATCCTGTGAATGCCATTAAACAACAAACATTAACCTGCACAGTAACCAAATCCACACTTATTGATGTTAATTAGTGTGTGTTGTCTATAATAAATTCAAACATTAAGGAAAAGGGCAAAAAAAGCATGTAAACTGTACAAAAGTAATCATTCAAATGTCTTCTCAATTCTGAGTGAAAGTACTTATATCTGCTGTCATTGTCCTCCACTGCTGATCTACAGTATTATTTTCAGTCACACTGATGGTGTCGCTGTGCTGTATTTGCACTCAGCTTATTGTTATTCTCCCTTTTTTACCTGCTCCCCTTCCTCTCCCTCATACCTCCTCCTCTCAGTGGTGGAGCAGTGTATCTGTAACAGGATACAGGCAGATGAGATGGTGCTGGAGTGGGTGGCCTACAGCACCACAAAAAATGGACTAAAACTCACTGTGGACACTCTGGAGCAATTCGAACACGAGGTAACAAATCAATATATTGACAGTTTATAGCTAGTGTTACATGTGTTACTATATATATTGATTATGAACCCCTCTGTCAATCTGTCCTCACCACTGTGTTCATTCTCTTTGCAGGTGTTAAATAAGAAGAGTAAACCAAAACAAAGCTTCAGAAAGGAAGAAGCTCTTAGTAGAACCAGAGACATCCACTCACTACAGGACTTGTATCCTTCACAGTGAACTCTTCACACTCGACTGTCCAGCAGCTTTTATTTCTGAATGTATGTGTCGTCTATCATGAGTGTCCACTGATGCCGTGTTACAGTCCTTGACACTATTTGTTCAGAATCAAAGCCGAGGAAGAGGAGGAGAATCTACTGGACTCCTACTCTACTCCTGCTAAGGTAAACTGTCACGTTTAACGTTTAACAGACTGCGTTTCTGTTGTGATTTACACTTTTAAAGTTAAATGAACTAGGTGTAACTCACTTTCTGGCCCTATAGTGCGTGTTCACTTGTGGGCTCTAACCTGACTCTGTGTGTGTGTGTGTGTGTGTGTGTGTGTGTGTGTAGGGCTCTCAGAAGCGAGCATTGACAACTCCTGAACACCCACATTCGAAAAGAAGTGCAGCTCTGCTGGCCAGCCCGGGCCTCCTGCTGTCTCCTGCCAGCTTTTCTCCCAGGTACTCAACAACAACACAGACAGACGACCAGATAGACATCAGTGAGCTGCTGAAAAGGCATAACCTGTATGGAAAAATTGTAATAGTAAGAAATCCCAAAAAGCACGATTAAATTTTTGGAAGTTTAAACCTGACCGTATTTGTCTTAATGGATTTCTCAATGCAGTTTGTTAACAAGTGAAAGACCTGAACATTTGTGCATTATAACCCGACTCTCTCATCTCTCTTGGAAGTGCGACCTCCCATCCACAGAAGTACAGCCAGCGAGGAGGAAAGGGGGAGGTGGTGGTCACATTCGGGGCCGTGCAGGGCACCCGCTGGGCAGGCAGGAAGGCTCCGGGCGCAGGCGTCGAGCTAGAACTGCTGGAAGGGCCTGAAGACTCCCTCCGCTGCAGCTACAAGTACATGTTCCAGAGGCTGCGCGACGTCCGAAATGGTAAAAGAGCCGGCACGTGAAATCATAAAACTACTTTGGAGCGAAGAGTCCTATATTTTACAAATGCATAGTTTTATATCAACATTTATACATTTCTATTAAATTAGAAAATAAACAGGTTTCCTTACATGCGTTGATTCAGAAACAGAAGTAATTGTACACCCTGCTCAGATAAACAGAAACCGTTCATACGCTTACACATTATTTAAAGTTGATGATCTTTGTGTCCCCAGTGTTGACAGAGAAGATAGAGGAGCTTGGCGAGGGTCTCAAGTCTCACTTCAACATCGAAGAGTTCTCCCCTGTCTCTCTGCCCGCCCAGGTACAGAAGGGATTCCAGACGTTCTGGAGACATCATGGATACCTTATTTCATATTTTATTCAGGGAAAGGTTTATTCCTAATTAGGAAACTAAACTAAACCAACAAATCATATAATTGAATTAATATAATTGAACTGTTAGTAATAAGTGAATGTATTACAGAGTTGTTGTATAATAGTTGTGGATCTCTGCAGGTTAAACATGCATATCTTAACTATTTATTTCTAGGAAATAAACTAGATACAATGTAATAAATGTATTTGTATTGTATTATCAAGTATTGCCTGCCTGCTGAGTTTGGTGTGTTTATGTCGTTTCACCTTCAGGACAGTATAACAGTGCTGGGTCAGGTTTGCTGCGACAGTAATGGCAAACTGAACGCACAGTCGGTTCTGTTGGAGGCGGGACCAGAGCAAGGTGGCCAGCAAGTACCTGTTGACCTATCAGAGCTTAAAGAGTACTCCTTGTTTCCGGGTCAGGTGAGCAGAAGGAAATCTAGCTGTGAATGTGTCTGCTTTGAAAGTCTTTTTACCTGTATTCAGTACATATAATGCCTCTAATACGCCACTAAGAATTAGATCCAACTGTGCAGCTTTGTATTCTGTAATTGTCAGTCACTAGAGTAGTATTAAAAACCGGTGGTCTCTCCTTTTCCTGTGCACTGAAGTGTGTGTAGCAGGTTACATGACCACCAAGAGTAACAGAGCATGCCAAGGACCTGGGCAGCAGACTCACCCAGCGTCTGACCGAGAACTCTGACAGCCATCAACACTTCTCATATAGGGATAAATAACCACCGGCCTGAGGCACATGAAACTACAATGCAAGAAGCATTTATTATATGTTAAAAGTACAGATTCATCTCCTCGTGTGTTCTCTGTCCTCAGGTGGTAGTGATGGAGGGGATGAACACAACAGGGAGAAAACTGATGGCTTCCAAACTCCATGAGGTCAGCTACAAGTTCACAGGTTTTTGACATAAAGAGAGTCAAAGATTATATCTTCACAAAGCATCATTTACTTAAAAATGTTTCCACATTAAGTGGTTTAGATTATGTCTGAGGCCTGTTTGTATATCTTCTGTTAATGGTCTGGTCTTCTTCAGGGAGTCCCTCTTCCTTTCTACACTTCTGAGGTGAAAATGGAGATGGATGAAGGTAAGGAATGATGTTGGTTGTTGTTCATCATTTGATGAAATGAATGAATGTACGTCCTTGAAGCTTTCACCTACAGTAGCAGGAGTGACCGTGCAGTCTTTGTCGGTAGTTTTGTCATGTGGCGTACCTTCTCTCATGTGATTGCAGAGCCAATGAATGTACTGGTGGCATGCGGACCGTACACCCCCTCTGACACCCTGACCTTTGACCCTCTGCTGGACCTAATCAATGTCATTGTCAGGGATCGCCCTGATGTCTGCCTGCTGGTATAGTTACTTTACTTCTTTGCTGTATCGCAGTCAGTAGTTCTCCCAGTTGTCACATGACTGCGTGTTATGTTTGAGGTTTTCTGATTTTCCCTTCTCGTCTCCAGCTGGGCCCGTTTGTGGATTCCAAACATGAACAAATTGAGGTGGGTTTTCCTGTGGACAGTGACCCACTGCAACTCTTCAAGTCAAGCTGGTTGATCATAAATGTTTGACCATCTTTATCTCCACCTGGTTCTTAAATAGAAAGCCCAGGTGACCGAGACGTTTGAGGCCATTTTCTCAAGATGTATCGACAGTATTGTGGATGGAACAAAAAGGTGAGAAAAATGGTACCAGTTACTGTCCATAATGGAACAATGGAATAACCAATAAAGAGCGAGTCAAGTTGAGCAGTACCATGCAGTGGAAAAGTGTCTTTACAGAGCAGCATGGTGCCTTGTAATGTGCCCTAAGCAGAAACCCTTGATGATAATGAAGCCTTTTGTTTTCTTCTATCCAGTGTTGGCTGTCGCCTGGTGTTTGTGCCCTCCCAGAGAGACATCCACCATCATTTCATCTACCCACAGCCTCCCTTCACCTTGCCAAACCTCAGCAAGGACCAGGCCCAGGTCAGACACAAAGACCCGACTGTAGCATTGTATATGTTAACTACATAAGCTGCTCGGGAGCCATCGTGGCAAGCCTCATTGTAATAGTTTAGTTTAAGTCTTAAAATAAAGTAGCAAGTCTTTATTTTTTCCTAAATAAAGATTAGAGTCTCAAGTCTGACTCGAGTCAAAACTTCATTCAGACCGGTTTAAAGGATTCAAACAGAGGGAACTTGTTTGTTTAAAGTCATTATCAGTTTTATATAGTGTTTCTCTTCACTCTGCAGCGTGTCACCCTGGTCCCTGACCCCTGCACCCTGCTGATCGACGGTGTGACCTTTGGCTTGACGTCCACTGACATCCTGTTCCACATGGGTGCAGAGGAGATCAGCTGGTGAGGAAGACAGTGTGCCGAAATGTTTAAACTAAATGTTTAGTGTGATTATGAAGCACAGACCTATTT